CTAGAAACAGGCCTATGGTTCCTATGCTTTAATCAGGCTCCTGCCCCATACCTTGCTCTGTGGCTATCATCTCTGGCTCCTACTCCAGAGATTGGCACTGCACAAAGACAGAATTGCCAAGACTATTCACATCACAGCCAGAGGTGAGAGAAATACGGCCACATACCTGCTTGAAGAGCTTCTCTTCCCAGTACTGCTGCTCTCATCAGCCTAGAGAACAAGAGACAAAGAAGAGCTGGTTAGGGTCAGACAGAGCAGAGATTCACACTTTGTAACTTTTCCCAATAATAACAAGATAATATTTTGCACTGATAGTCTCTCGCTTTGTCCATCCTGCAGGCTGCCCTCCCACCCCCAACTTTTCAGTCTCCTTTCTTCTGGATGAAAACGGGAGTTGAGTGAGGGGCAATGGATGATAGAAATTATTATTTGTACTTTGGAAATGCCAGCGGCCACAATCAGAAAGCAGTTCCCCATCCTGCTGGGTGCTGTGTAGACACATTAGATTGCCCGTTCCCTGGGGCAGGGACCATCTCTCTATCCGGCATTCGTACAGAACCTAGCACACTGGGGTCCTGGCCCATGACTTGGCTCATAAGTGCTAGGATGATGATAAATAATAACAATTGTCATTAGGACACCACAGTCGTGGCCACTGAAATGTCTATAGTTTTAGGCCCCAATCCTGCAAAAACGTATGTACATGCTTAACTTTTGAATTTGGTGGGACTGCTTGTGAGCTTAAAGCTAACCGTGTGCGTAAGTCTTTGTCAGATCAAGGCCTCATTTATGGCAGAGCTCAACAAGTGAGATAAGATGGTGGTGAAGCCGAGGGTTATGGCAATAAGGCCGTGCAGTAACGTGGGCAAGCTCTGCATACAACTCACTGATTCCAAACAGCTGAAAAGTGTTGGGGAGGGGGCTTTAAAAAAACGTTATCTCCAACTGCTCCCCAAGCCAGCTCTCACGAGTTGGCTGATTTCTTGCAGCTCATCACAGCAGAGGTGGCTTCTGAGACGGGATGGGGAGAAGAGGGAAGCAGTTTTGTGGGATCAGTTCAGGGAGGCACTCCATGTGTGAGGGTCAGCATGGAGGAAGTGCAGAGGTGGTCATTGGAGGAACGGCCAAACAGGATAACACATGAAAAGGAGGTTTGGGCCCTAAACTGTGGTAAGTCATGAGCTGAGCACCGAACCCTATGGTGACAAGCAGTGAGATCAGCCCCCTCCCAGTTATCAGCACCAGAGTTTCTTTGGATCATTTTAAAGCTGTGTTCATCTCTCCTGCAAAGCCCATTTCTCAGAGTGGGGCAATTTTGGAGCATGTGGTGTGGGTCCAACAGATATAACAATGACCCAAACTCTTACGCACTTTCTGGAAAAATACAAATATAAATAACCAGCTAAATGGCAAACTGCACTGTTTTATGTTGAGCTGGGGCCTCCAATAAAAAGCAGCAGCAGATTCATTCCCGCCAGTCTGAGACAGCGCCAGTTACAATACTGGATCCTTCAAATGCGAGAGCAAAGGGAAAGGCTGGTTTCATTTCCTGTAACTGGGACCAGCTGAAGGGTCTGTCCAAGAAAATAAAGCTTCATTGTCGGGGCGATGAGAATGCCAGAGTTCCCAAACAGAGCGAGAGGATCACTTCAGTAGATCCTTTGGTTTGGTGACTCGTTCGGTCTTTCCTGTGCTCTCCCTGCACTGAGAACTGCAGCCACTGGCAGGTGGGCGAATGCCCGGTGTGGGGGTGATGCAGGGTCCCAAGACCAGCACCACCATAGCCTTTGCACCGGTGGGATTTGCCTGGCAGCACATAATTCAGTGGCCTTCTGTGTGAAGGGGGACAAGAGATCCTCCAGATGGAGGGTGGGACAGCACGTTTCTACATTGCAACTGTCCAAGTAGGTGAAAATTTGGGCCTCAGCAGGACCATGTCCCTTTAACACACTATGGGAGAGACCTGAAGACGTACACTTTGGTCAAAGCTCCCACGGGACGGCACAACCATGGGCTCTGAAAACAGCACTCATTGTAGTGTTTGACTAGGGACATTTTGTGTCATTTATTTATTATGTAGCATCTGAGCACTTGAAGACACTAATGAGTCTCATCCTCACCCTACCACTGCACAGGTGAGAAGTAGTAGTATCCCTCTTGTACAGATGAGGAACTAATAAGTCACAGAGAGATTGTGACTTGTCCAAGACACACAAGATGTCTGTGGCAGAGCCAGCTCTCCTGTCTCCCTGTCAATCAATCTGCACAACTCTCCTGTGCATCAGGCACTCTATGAGCCCCATTCACAGATGAGGACGCTGAGACCACAAGTATAAGTGACCTGGCCAAAGCCACAGAGGCAGTCACAGCGCCAGAGCTGAGTTAGAACCTGGGAGACATGAGTCTCGGTCCTGTGCTTAGACCACTCGAGCCCTCCGCCCCCAGACAAACCATCCCCTACCAGTTAGTCTGTAGAAAGTGTGACCTCTGGATCTCCAGATTCAGTTAGAAGACTGGTTTTGTTGTTTTCTAAACAAACCTGGCTCACTCGGTAATTGGAAAGGGTCAAGCTCCCTCCCCGCACTCATAATTTATTTCTGAATTGTCTAATGCGTGACCTTTTCATTGCTAGATCTGTGTTCTCAGGAAGCGGCTACTCTTTTTAACTCTTAAAGCTGCTAGGCACTGTGCCTTTTCCCCCATCCGCTGATGAGAGGTTTCCTTGGAAAGACAATATTATTCCAATCTCAGAAATTTTATTTCTGAATTTGTGCAAATATAAGTTATAAGACATTAACTGCATTTCACATTTTGTGCAAATGGCAGAAACAGGCAATTCATGTGCAGCAAGATGGGGGCTAGCCAAGGATTTTGATAAAATAAACCCTTTTTTAATTTAAATGCTAATGCACTGAATTAAAATTTAATAACTGAGGAAATTGAAAAGCCGAGCAGGAATATTGGAAATAAATCCAAGCAGAAACAGCTGAAATTAAAAATTCTAGAGAGTGGGAGGATAGCAGCTAAGCTGTCTCATATGATTACATTTTTTTTTCTTTCCAGAACGAAGGGTGGAAAAAATCCTATCCGTGGCCGGCTGTAGGGCTGTAAATCGAGAGTGCTGTGATTTATTGCTCAATTTTCCTGAGGGAAAAGGGCTTTCTTTAATGCTGAAATATTTCATAAATTTCAAGCCAGCATAAATTCTTCATTTAAAAGTTGAAGAGGTCACATTTAGTGCACTGGTGCAATTCTGAAATCTTAAAGGAATAGCAAACCAAAATTGCAATTTTATTTATTTTTAAATTCTTAATGTGAAATTTTGTTAGTGGAGATTTATCTCAGTTATTAAAAGCAGAGGCATTTCTGGGGTTCTGATGGCTGGAGCAGTCTACTAGAAATGAAGTGATAAAGATTTAATTCAATTATAAACCAGCCTTTTTTTTTTTTTTTTCTTTTAAAGTCACTTGAGGAATTTCTGGTAAAAAAATTTCCTCCCTCCATTGCCTGGGAAAAGCCAGAAGGGAGGAGTTGACAATGTTATTGCTTCTGTTAGATCTCCAATCTTTTGTGAACACTGATATGTTCATTTGTTATACAGCTGTTCAGCTACAGAAAGGCTGTCAGAGCTCCCATAATTCAAAGCAATCAATCAAAAATTAATGATTTGTCATGCTTACACAATGGAAAAAAAGGCTGCATGGGAGCCTGCAACTGGTAGATTGCTCAAATCTTCAGGGCATTTTCTAGAAGATTACATCCACGCCTAAAAAGGAGTCTTAATATGCAGCAGGGAACTGTGAGAGGTGCTAGGGCATTGCAGCCATCTAAAGCACCCAATAGAGAGGGGACAATACATTCTTCCATTTGTCTGAAAAGCTTAATTTAAAACATGTCCTCACAAAGGACACTATACTCTCCAGTCCTGGATCAAAGAGAGGTGTCAGGCGTACCTTTAATTAAAAGTCCAGATTTAAAACTGTTTACTGAAGGTAAAGTTTGCCTGGACAAGCACTCAAAAGTCAAGAAATGCAAAAGCTAAAGCTGACCACACAACCTTAACTCTGCCCCCTTGGGCATATGTATTACAGAACCTCCTTGTACCAACGTAACTACTGTTCAAAAATTAAAAGGCACTGATCCTGGAAACACTTACACATAAGGGGGGACATGAGAGCAGTCTTCAAATACTTGAAAGGCTGCCATAAAAAAAAGATGGAGAAAAGTGGTTCTCTCTTGCCACAGAGGGCAGAACAAGAGGCAGTGGGTTCAAACTACAGCACAGCAGATGTAGATGAAATCTCAGGAAAAACTTTCTAGCTGTAAGAACAGTAGGACAATGGAACACACTGGCGAGGGAGGTTATGGAAGCTCCTTCACGGGAGGTTTTCAAAAGGAGGCTGGAGCCATCTGCCTTTGGTGGTTTAAACACAACAAATCCTGCCTCTTGGTAGGGGGTTAGACTAGGTGACCTTTGCGGGTCCTTCTAACCCTATGATTCTATCAATAACTTTAAGCGAACCGAAGTCCCACTGCACTCACTGTGACTGGTCACGTGTATAAAGTGGGCATAAGCGTTTGCAGGTTTGGGGCCCAACACAGGATTAAAAAAAAAATCATTATCTTAGGCCCCAAATCTGCAAAACTGTACACATATGCTACAGAACTGCAAGTTCTCTCACTGAAATGAAGGGATTACTGTGTAATGTCAAGTACATGCACAAATCTCTTCAGGACTGGTGCCCTATGTATATATATATAGTATGTAAGAAAATAGGTACATGTATAGTAATATCTATTGTTTTTCTTAAACACTTACACTAGAGAGCTCATCATCATAATGCCATAATATAGCTTTAGTGATATACTTCTTTTATAAAAAATACATTTTCCCGTTAAACAGTATGCATTAGAATTATTTTGCCACTACACATAAGCAAGTATTTACCCCCTTTGGACACCAATATACCTTTCAAAAAGCTGTTGCTAAGGGAAATACCCTTATAGAGTTGTACTAGGAATGTGGATATTCTAATATTTCATGGTTTTTTTTGTTATGCCCATGTGTTACTTTCTTCAAACTTAATGCAGACATTACTCTGCAAAGAATCATGCATGTAATTCATTTACAGTCCTTTTTATATTTGTATTTAGAACTGAGTGAATAATTCACAATAAATACATTACTTGATTACTTTAACCTTTCTGTT